TGAGCAAAAGATACCTAAAGAGTTCAGACTGGAAACGGGTGTCCCTCAATTTCAAAAAAACAAAAACAAAAAACGGACCTGTGACTGAAGTTCGGAAATGGTGCTTCTTAAAAGACACTCAGGCCCACCTGTGCCCACGAGCGCCCGATGTGCTCCCAGCTCCCGGGGCGCAGCGTCTGGATGCCGCAGGGCGTGGGCACTGAGGGCTTCCCGGGCGCTGGCTGCCGGGGCTTCGACCCGGCCTGTGGGCCCTTAGCCTCCAGGGGGCCGCGGACGGGAACCCACCCGCTGCGCAGGAGCCACCCTGACTGCGGAGCGTTTACTGACCGCCCGTGTACCACAGGGCAACGCCCTTCCAACCGCCCGAGTAATACTAATAATCCGTCAGTGCAACAGTTCCTGGGGGAGCCCCAAGCACGAGCCCGGGGAACACGGAGGCACAGAAACACCATCCACACGCACAAGTCAGCTGAATGGCAGGGATGCTGGAAGACAATTGAGGCTATTTTTTCCGTTGATTTTTTTAGAGAGAGGGGAAGGGAAGGAGGGACAGAGACACGTCCATTGGTTGCCTCCCACATGCGCCCCGACAGGCCGGGAATCTAACCTGCAACCCAGGTAAGTGCCCTTGACCAGAAATGGAACCCGAGACCCTCCGGTGCTCAGCTGAGGCTGCAGCCATTGAGCCAGCTGAGAACTTCAAGTGAACCCGCCATGCCTGCGAAGGGCAAACTGCCCGCTTCCGGTACGTGCTCTCCACAAGCGTACTGACTGGGCGACATCTTGCTTTTAATTTCCTTTTTGGGAAATAATCATAAAGGAAATGAGGGACTTGAACAGAACAGCTAGCTAGATACGTTTTTCCACACATTCCTGACTACTGCGCTATCAACTGAGTAATATTCTGTGACCTGTGATGCGCCATCTCACGTATAAGACAGACTCACACTTGGTAAGGAAAGAAGAGACACAAAGGACAGCCGGGCCCTTCCGCGGGGGTGCGCGCAGGCTCCTTGGGGCTCGAGCGGACCGACAGCGGAATTTCCTGGGGTCCGACTGCAGCGGCCTTGAGCAAAGACGCAATCACGGCTGAAGAGCGTGCCAGGCTCCTGGCTGCGGCCGGCACCGTGGTATAAATCAGCCACGGCTTCTTCCCAGTGGCCCTGCGGCCCCCTCCCTCCAAGTTCAAAACACAGACTCTTCCAGAATCAAAAACTTGGTAAAAGGTCACTTTGTTTTCCTCAACGTGTGCAAACGGCAGAGCTGGCCCGACGTGCAGTGCAGACCAGCTCGGTCCTCGCGGAATGACTGCATCTGCAGGAGCGTGGACACCAACACCACGGCGGCGGAAAACCGCCTCTGCGGTTTAATTGCCGAGACGCAAAGAGAGACGCAGGTGTACTGGATATGGTTACCATACCCGCGGCGAACCGTTTCCTTAACTGATAAATCCCTCTTTAAACACATTTAATTGTACTAATAACTGGGAATGCTAACCTCTGCTTGCAAGAAAAAGGGCTTGTAAAATAGACGACATGGTGCCAGAAAAATATATGGATTATTGACAACTTGTTTATATGGATATTTAAGGCAAAACAAAAAGGCACCTCTCTAGGAGATTAAGAAGAAAGGAGGCTGAAGATTTAAATGGCTGTAACATAAATGGAAATGCAGGTGGGACCCTGGAAATGCAGGTGGGTCCCAGGAAATGCAGGTGGGTCCCAGGAAATGCAGGTGGGTCCCTGGAAATGCAGGGGGTCCCACACTTCCAGTACCTCCTGTCCCCACAAAGATGTCCTAAGTCCAAGTGACAGCAGATGAATCTGACTTTAACACAGAAGTAATGTTAGGTACAGACTGCATTCCTGACAAATGATTTTATGCCCTTTATGAAAAAATAAGACAGGACCACAAGTAACACATTTACTCAAATATGAGCCTGCCCACCGAAGAGTCTGGAGCGACCTGGGTACACAGGGTGATTAACTCTACCACGGGTGTCCTGGGAACCTCGAGCTGGGGTCACACGCTACCCCGAGTCTCTGGCTCCTTGCCTACGGAAAGGGCAGGTGTGGCCGCCGATCCCTAAACCCCATGCCAACCCGATGACGTTCTCGAGGAAGCCAAGAGCACTACGCAGGCCGGGCCCAGGAGCAGGACAGCGATGGAGACAGGAGTCTGCAGGGCGGAGCCCACCCAGGAAGGTGCTGGGTGCACCTCTGCCTCCCAGAAAGGCTTCTCCAGGGAAACGCCAAGCTGGCCTCAGAGGTCAGAGAGGGTTTCCAGGGCCTGAGAGAGTGGAAAGAAGCCGAGAAGAGGGAGCAGCCACAGAGCCGGGATGTTGGGGACCGTGGCACCTGCCTGGCTCCCGCCCCCCATGAGGACCACACTTACTGTCATCACAGGGCCCATCGTGGGGCCAGGACAGATGCCTGATCCAAATGTGGTTTAGAGAGGGTAAGTTCCCAGGTTCAGAAAGACAAGCCAGATGGTCCTAACCAAGAGGCACACTGACGATCTGCGTTTGATTCGTGAGCCCAGGAGTTATGCTCAACTCATCTGCAGAGGGCACAGCACACAGTAGGTGCTCGATAAACATTTGCAGAGTTGGATAGACGGATACACACGAGCACACCTCCTTTATCTGCCCTTCACAGATGTGGAGCTTTTTACAAACTTAAGGTAGCCCCTCCAGCAGCGGTAAGATAGGGTGTCCATCCTTTCCGGAAGGGGCTGCGCCAGCCCCGTGTCCTTGGCCTGCCTGGGGAGAAACGCACACGACTGTCTAACGCGACTCAGCCCTGGGCAGTACAGCGCTCCCTCTCACTTCGGCAGGACTGCCTTTTTATAGCACAACTAAGGGAGAATCTTCCAGAAGCTTTCGGTAAACTTTCCAGGGCCAAATAAATTCGCCCTGAGAAATTGGGGAGGTCTGTTTTACTGCCTTCTTATTTCACAACAAAGTTCTCTCTAAAAAGCCAAAGCCTTTAGAGACTCCGTTTTGCATCTCTGCTGGATCAGAGAGGCCTCCATGTCATGGGGCCCAGCAGCCGGCCCTGCACCCTCAGGTCATGCGGGGGACACCCCGGGCCTCCTGTAGAGCATGGGAGCCCGTGGTCCTCGGCCCTGCTTCCCAAGACCAAAGCCTCGGGGGGTTTGGTTTGAACAATGTCCGCTGTGGCCATTTATTTGTCTGTTTATTCCACGTTATCATCAAGTCGGTCTCTCAAATGATCCTACGTGGAAATTAACAGGCTCCCCCCACGTCAAAACTCCTGTTTGATTACAAATCCCCAAAAGCAAGTCTTTCCATTTCAGCCAACAATCCTGCGGCATCCAGCCGAGGCCGCCGCTGTTGGAAGTACTGTGATCGCCTCTGAGTTACGTGTAAGAGGGGAGCAGGTTATGTAACTGAAATGGGAAACTATGTTTCAGCAGGGACGATGGGAAACTATGTTTCAGCAGGGACGATGGGAAACTATGTTTCAGCAGGGACGATGGGAAACTATGTTTCAGCAGGGACGATGGGAAACTATGTTTCAGCAGGGACGATGGGAAACTATGTTTCAGCAGGGACGATGGGAAACTATGTTTCAGCAGGGACGATGGGAAACTATGTTTCAGCAGGGACGATGGGAAACTATGTTTCAGCAGGGACGATGGGAAACTATGTTTCAGCAGGGACGATGGGAAACTATGTTTCAGCAGGGACGATGGGAAACTATGTTTCAGCAGGGACGATGGGAAACTATGTTTCAGCAGGGACGATGGGAAACTATGTTTCAGCAGGGACGATGGGAAACTATGTTTCAGCAGGGACGATGGGAAACTATGTTTCAGCAGGGACGATGGGAAACTATGTTTCAGCAGGGACGGCGAGAATCAGAGGCCTGGAGAAACCCAAGCAGGACGCCCAGCTGTTGGGGAGCCGGCGCACACCTGCGGGGCGCAGCGGCGGGCGCCTGCCGGAGGCTGCCTTGCAGTGCGACGGTGTCCTCCCCGCCGGCTGTCTGTCTGGGCCTGAGTTTATGGTAATGGGTGCGCGGGTCAGGCCGTGTATTAAAGACGCCGGATGGGCTGACACATCGTCAACATTTTTTATGGAACATCTTTCCGCAGAGAGATGGCTGTTGTCCTTCAAAGGAATCACCTCGGAGGCGATAAATCTGTTACAATGATGCCGCTGTATATCAAAGCCGTTTCGGAACTTCTCTTGGCAGAATTAGTTACTCATCTCTTAAGAGATCCCGTTTTCTTACTTTCCTGCCTCCTTTCTCCCCTCTCCTTCCTGCTTGGCCCCCGGCAGCCATGAGGGTTGTTTGCCAATTTCAGGTTCCTCTCGTCCAAGCACGTTGTAAAAGTGTACGTCTCTGCCTCCTAGAAATCGGAGGTGGCCAAGGAGACGTGAGGAGTGACGCTTCGGGGGGGGCCTTCAGAGCCACATCCCTGTCCCAGTGATGTGCGGTGGTCCCGGGGTGGAGCCTACGCGGAGGGATGTGGGGTGGGAGTTGGAAGGCACCCTCAGTTCCTGGAAGCCACGGGGCTGGGGGTATTTGTCACTGCACATCCTATTTCTGTCACCTCCTTCCTACCCCAAATTATCCCGGTGAGCTGCAAGGGCACATGAGGAACCCAGCAGGCTGAGGACCTATCGGGAGGAGCCTAGGGGCTGCCTGAAAAGTGGGGTCAAGGGTGGGGCAGGAGCCACGGGAGCCAGACCGAGGCTGGCAGCCAGGAGCAGAGACCACACTCCCCACCGACCAAGTGATTTTATCTATTTTCCTCAGATCAGAGACACTGCAGGGACAATGCGTGTAAGACCTGGAGACCACCTGAAGTCAGAATGCCCACAGGTCCCCTAAACTCAGGAAACAGGTTTCCCTGGGCACAGCTGCAAGTCTGTGTCTGATACCTGGGCCTTCAAAGAACAGGTATCATTTCAGGTCAATGTCAACTGATGGAACCACAAAGGCAAGACGGCCAGGCCTGAGGACGCTTACGGTGACCCGCTGGGGTGGCGTCAGCGTCCCTCCCATGGCTGCCTCTGCACGGTGATAAATCCGGACTCGGCAGCTGGTCTGTCCAGCTCAGGACAGACACCATGAACTCTACGTGCAGCAGGGAGGTCTAAGAAAAAGGGAGGAAAGGGGGACTCAGTGTCCACAAACACTGAGATTCTGCCCACACCCTTCTGCATTTTACAAAACCATTTACTGAGCTTCAGCTACTTGGGTGACTCACTGAGGGGACACGAGATGAAGACACGGTCTTTGTCTTCACGGAACTTAAAGGGAGGCGGTGTTAAGGCCCCCCTCAACTCACTTTAATACAAGATGGGACGGCGTGACAGCCGGGGGCAGGCAAAGGCAGGAGAAATTCCTATCTTGTCTACAAAGATATAAACAAATGGTTAGTGTTCCAGTTAATTCAAACCCCGGTGACCAACGGCGGGAAACACACGACGCAGCAGGCTAAGGAGCTGGCTCCAGAAGGGGAACCCTGCGGGGCCCAGGCCTGCGCCTTCGTGTGTTCATTCACCAACCCGTCATTCAGGCTGGGAGCTCGCAACAACCGCAGAGCTGTATGAGGCCTGAAGGCATGAGCTCGAGCAGGAAGGCCCACCGGAGCCCGGGACATCGGACACATCCAATCAGAGGGTGTCGGCTGACCTCGTGAGAGGGGAATGGAATTGGAGACAGGAGGAAAGATTAATAACAGCTATAACCAGTTTTTGTGATGAATATTCATTATTTTTATACACCTTTACTACTTAAAGTAAACATGCATTGTTTTATAATTTTTAAAATGTTAAGGACAGGTAAATAAATAGCTGACACTAACATCACCATTATTGTCATCACCATCACGACTACCACCATCATCATGACCATCATCATTGTCATCGTCATCACCATCATCACCACCATCAGCACCATCAGGACCATCATCACCATCACCATCACCACCATAATCATCAACATCACCATCATGACCATCATCATCATCATGACCATCATCATCGTCATCACGATCACCATCACCACCATCACCATAATCATCAACATCACCATCATGACCATCATCATCATCATCATCACCATCAGCACCATCAGGACCATCTGGACCATCAGGACCATCAGGACCATTGTCACCATCACCATCATGACCATCATGACCATCATGACCACCATCATCGTCATCACCATCATGACCATCATGACCATCATCATCATCATCATCACCATCAGCACCATCAGGACCATCTGGACCATCAGGACCATCAGGACCATCAGGACCATCAGGACCATTGTCACCATCACCATCATGACCATCATGACCATCATGACCATCATCATCGTCATCACCATCATGACCATCATGACCATCATCATCATCATCATCACCATCAGCACCATCAGGACCATCTGGACCATCAGGACCATCAGGACCATCAGGACCATCAGGACCATTGTCACCATCACCATCATGACCATCATGACCATCATGACCACCATCATCGTCATCACCATCATGACCATCATGACCATCATCATCATCATCATCACCATCAGCACCATCAGGACCATCTGGACCATCAGGACCATCAGGACCATCAGGACCATCAGGACCATTGTCACCATCACCATCATGACCATCATGACCATCATGACCACCATCATCGTCATCACCATCATGACCATCATGACCATCATCATCATCATCATCACCATCAGCACCATCAGGACCATCTGGACCATCAGGACCATCAGGACCATCAGGACCATCAGGACCATTGTCACCATCACCATCATGACCATCATGACCATCATGACCACCATCATCGTCATCACCATCATGACCATCATGACCATCCTCGTCATCACCACCATCAGCACCATCAGGACCATCAGGAACATCGTCACCATCACCATCACCACCACCACCATAATCATCAACATCACCATCATGACCATCATCGTCATCACGATCACCATCATCAGCATCATCATGACCACCATCAGCACCATCACCATCATGTCACCATCATCACCATCACTGTCGTTGACATCACTGTCATCACTGTCAGTATCATCGCTATCACCATAAGGGTCCTCATCTATGAGTGACTGGCACACAAAACCTCCCCGATTTTCACTGTGAGCCGGGGTGATGGGAACTATCCTGGGTGGATGCTACAGGACAATGTTTTCCAAACCAAGAGGCATAACTCATCCATAGGTCATGAAATTAAGTAGAAATTTTTTAATGAAAAATAATGAAATAGAAAAACTTCAGATAGCATCACCTATAGTAAAGTATGTTTCTAATACACTGACACACATTTCTCTGCTGTATCTTTATGGAAAATATGCTACTTGTTACTAAAAGTCACTGCCTGTAGGAGAGAAAAAAAATTTTCCCCTTTTCCTAAAGAAAGAAGCCCTTATCTTTCCTAATGAGAAAGGTAAAACTAAATCCCTTATGTTTACAAGAAGATAAATACCTACAGTTCTGCACAAAAATTATCCAATCTTTATAATAAACAATTCACATGTGCACGTGGGCTTTTAAGTCTGAAACAAGCACCCACAGTGTCAGATAGCAGCTCGTGCACACTGAAGATGTTGTTTCAGCACAAAATACACCGCACTGGGGGAGGGCGGGGGTGTGCAGAGAGTACCCCAATGATGGGTACCACAGGCACCCATCAGCTCGTCCCAACAAAACCCAAGCTGCGGTCGCGGAGCAGCACACAGATGAAGAACTGCAGTCGCTCCCACACCAGACAGAGCTGCAGATGCCTGTGTCTGGCTCAAGGTCAGGATCAGACAGGTCCCAGGAGCAGGTGCTTCCAGGAGCCCAGCTCCACATGCTCAGGGATGTCCTCTTTGGGCACCACCAATGCCTGGGCACGGGGACCTCTCTACACGCCGCAGGGAACGACTGTGCAGAGCAGATCCAAGCTCACTGCCACCTCGCGTCGCTTACTCCCCACAACAACGGGCAAAGAAACTGAGGTGAGCGGCACCCAAGGTCCCAGCTCTAGGAGGGAGCCGAACAGCGACCAGAGCAACATGCGTAAACTAGCTGGGGTTCGGGGTGCTGTTGGAATCCATGGGGACAAGGACTGGAGACGATAAACACTCGGCCAGGGCCTGGGGGCTCTGATATGCTTTCCTCAACAGAGACACCAAGGCAGACAGAAATGTCCAGAATCGAAAGCAGAGGTGTTCACTGATGGGCCTGCAGCTGCCCAGCCTTGTCTTCCTAACACAGAGCTTCTCAGACAACGTAAGACCAAATTTTTAAAAAAGGAGCAATGTCCTAGATTAGTAACTCACTAACTATCCTCAGACAATCAATAACCCTTAAAAACGTTTTCTCACAGAAGGCACTTGCTCTTGGGAATCCGTTAAAGTCTCACATCCTGTGCTGTCCTCTGGACACTGGGACATCGACCGCCCGTGTCCTTTAGGCACGTGACTAGAAAAGCTGTGGCATGGGACAGCCGGAAAAAGGACCCGTCCCTTAAAAACAGTCTAGCAGCTTCTGTGTACATTAAGGGTTTTGGTAAATGTTTCAGATGAATTACGGCGAAGCAGGAAATCACATGCTCTCTGGGGTCTTGAGCGATCTGCCAATGAGGGGGGTCAGCTCATTAATGATCTCTCAATGGAAGATCAATTGGATCGAGCTCTTTAACTGTCTTCTTTAAACCTACAACAAACGGGAGTTTGGGTCCTTTCGGCAGGATGTTTCGTATACATCGCTGAGGCAATAAATACTAGTCATCATTATTTTCTGATAAAAAGTCAATAAAATCAAGTTATCTGAGTCTTTTAAGAAGAACAGCGTTTCCCATAAGTCTGTCTTGAGGAACAATACTTCATCGGGAATGCCACGGCCTAAAGATAAAACAAAAGTGTTCATTTCGAGCCTACGACGCCTGCAGCGGCCGGGCAGCAGGGCTCATACGTGGGCTAACAGATGTTATTTTGAGGCCAGGGGAGGTGGATTGAATCCAGGACCTCGAATCATCACATGCATACGACCTACTGTGGGCCGTGCAGTTCAGACGCCTCTGAGACCCAGCAAGTCCCATCCATGATAAGCAGCGCTACTTTTGAAGATGAATGCCTCTAAGGAAATCATGCTTTCTTCCTGATTGCAAAGTTATACTGATCACAGGTCTTTTTCGAAGAAATGTTATTATTTAAAGCGTGGAAATACCTGTTTCCATTGAAATGCACTTGGTTGTCTATTAAAAGTCATCTGAGTGTCTTTAGGCACTAAAGTGTTATCATTCTTGCCTTGGCCAATATCCCTATGAAAACAGCTCCCAAATTAAATTCCTAATACATTAAGCTAATAATTCACCTTCATTAATTTAATTTCTTCAGTGAGCAATAAATAGTTCTTATGACACTCTTCTAGGACATAAGTACAAATGTTATTTTTCTTCATTAGTCAGTCTCCTCCTGAGTACACGGAAAACGGCGGTCCATTTGTTATCTCCTGTTTCTTTAACGGCAAATTGCTGCAACAATTCCATTGTGCTCAGTAGAAACCAAACAATTCAGGCGGCAATTTTCAATAAATAAAAAGTAATTTCTTACAACTGTTAAAAACTGAATTTTACATGGGTACTAAAAAATACAAGTAGTATTTTCCTAATATTAATTTTAGATAGTGTATCATATTTCAAGTCTAAAACAGCTACATTTTAAAAAGTGACAATTGGCTTATATTGTAGCGCAGCTATGTCAGGGGGAATACCCACACACACAGATTGGTTAGAAGATAAAGGTGGTTCTGTGTGAGTGTAAACAGCCTGTTACCTGTGTTTAGCGTATCTGTTTCCTACGGAGGTAGGGGCGCCACACCACCTCCGTGGGGCGTGAAAATGGAAACCGGGAGGCGAGCGGGAAGTGAAGGAGGCCAGAGCCACACATGGGGAAATGACAGTGGCCTTCTCCTCTCCCAAACGCGACACTGGAGGGAGCACCCAGGCGGGAGGGAGGAAGCAAGAAACAGACAGGTCAGGACAGAACCATCCTTTCATTACAACAGATGCAGAAGGCAGGCCCCCACTGTGAAATCACACCCCGAAACGCTTCCATGCACTGCGCGAGGAACCCGCACTGGCCACGATCGCAAGCGCACCATTAACTAGAACCAGGGCCGGTTAGGACCCACGATGGGGGAAGTCCTTGGGGAGGCCAGGGTTCTGGGCAGTGGAAGGTTTACCCCTATAAACAGAACTCTATTAAAATGCTTCAACACTGGAGAATTTTATAAAATATGTGTTTCTGCCACGATATTTAAAGCATAGTGTACACAGTGAACATTTTCCCGATAACCAGAAACACAAATCGTGAACAATCAGTAGTGAGCACAAAGGGCCTACAAGGCTGTGTTGTTCACGGCATTTATTCATTTATTATGGCTTTTTCCTTTCTCCTTCCTCACTGTGAGGTCTCTGCTCGCACTTCCTCACTGTTACCCACGTGCCTCCCCCCAACCTCTAACTTGCCACGTTGCATTTGCCGTGGCCCAGGCGAACAGACATTTGTGACGATCAGAAGCGCGTGTAACAGAAAACTAAAATGTAAGCGCTGAGCGAGGACCTGCAGATACCGTCTGTGAGTAAATATATGAATTAAGTGCCTGGACTTCTGATGCCCGATGCCTTTTTATCTTTTCTGATTCTCAGCTGCTTCGGGAAAACAAAGGTGGTAATTAATTGGTTTCTAGCTAGGTGAGGTTTTACTGTGTTTCAGAAAGATGCAGGCACTGTTGTGCGCGTCCGGGAGCCTTAGGTACATGACCACACTTAATCCCCCCCGAGGCCCGTGGAGCTGCAGGAACTCACTGCCACAGGGACGGCGAGACTGGTTAGAAAAGCTAACCAAACATGCGGCTGTTAATTCCAAATCAGAGTGTCAATATAACACACCAAGATTTAATTTTCATTTTTTAAAAAAACAGAATCTTGGGGGGCAAATGAAAGAAAGTTATTTTACATTAGCTTAAAGATGACCGTGAGAAATTACACCCAAAACCATACACATTTCCACAGCCACGACCCCAGGCCCCGGGCTACAGGGAATCTGGGTTATCCAACAGGAGTGAGGCGCGAACCACAGAAATGGATGCTGTCGACAGAAACCCAGGTGATTGTATAAGTTTTTAAAGATTTTTCTCTCTGCCATCAGACGACACTGGAACAACTGGAGAGTGTATGACAAAGCAGTGTGTTTGGAAGATATCTGTTAAAGGCTGTTCCGTAAATGGAGACTGTGGTTTCGTCTGGAAGATTTCA